AAAAAAAAAAAAAAAGACTCAAGTTGTATAATGTCTCATTTGCATTTTGGTGCACACACACTAAAAAAGTGCTTAGAATTAAAACCAAACCAAAACAAAAGCAGACATTCTTTAACAGGGATTCAATAATCATAATTACTTACCTCAGAATTTGATATTGATTCTTTCACTCGAGGAGACTAAAAGAAATACAAAAAAGCGTGCTTGTTAATTCAGAACTCTGGTTACTCACTGCTGATCCCAAACAGCAAGTATTTTGAATGCAAGTCAACTGCATTTAATTCTGATCCATACATTAACTCACCAGCAACTTCTAGGAAAAGTATTCTGGGGGAAAAAAAAAGTGCCTTACTAGTATTGTATTCTTTGTCTAGGTAGCCTATAACAGATGCTTTAATAAACTTACAGTATTTTAAAATTCTATAACTTGAAGCTGTATAAGCAAACATAATGGGACTGTTTCAGTTTTCAGACAGAGTAGTCACATTCTTCAAAGGAAAATTATTTCCCTTAACCATGAACATATTAAGAACATAAGATCCCAGACCCAAACCAAATCTAAACTTTCAAGATAGTCATCCAACACATTCTCAAAGTAGAATAATTCTTATTATAAGTTTTTTTTAATTGAGTCATAAACACATAGATCATGTATACATAATGCATTTATGGGGTACAATGTGCTGATTTTAAATACAGTCTGGAATGCTTACATCAAACTAGTTAATATAGCCTTCACCTCATTTACTTAATTATTGTGTTAAAACATTTATACTCTATACTTAATAGAATTGACATGTACCCTTGTAATATCAACCACAGGAATGGTCCCACCATTTATCCTCCTTCCATCAAATCTCCCCCCTCCCTTCCCATCCTCTACCTGTTACCTCCTTCATCCTGGGCTACAGTTGTATTTTATCTTTCTTATGAAAGTGTGAGTGATTATAAATTGATTTCATAATAGTACTAAGTATATTGGATATTTTTTCTTCCATTCTTGAGATACTTTACTAAGAATAGTTTCTAGCTCCATCCATGTAAACATAAGAGAGGTAATTATAAGCTTTAATGGAGAAAACTCTTGAGGCAAAATTGAAACACAATGATATGAAAACTGTATTTCAAGAGTCTACTACTAACCTTACTCTTAGAGCTAGATATTTGGGAATCCACTATGCAAATAAATGTAGGTTGTCCAAAAATAAAAAATGGCTAGTAGAAATAAACTGATATGTTAATACAAACTAAGGGAAGGTCTTTAATATCCAGTATAAACCACACTTATTTGGAAATGACCACTTATATAATTGGCCATATGAAAATCTAAACTAAGTTTATTTGGTAAATCATAACATTTAGTAGTAATTCTGGATACAGGCACTGTGGTTTAAAAAAAAAAATTATCCCTAAACAACTATCAATTTATGGTGAATTCTACCAAGGAAGAGTTTAGCCAGAGTTCTTAAAAGGTCAACTTAAGAGTTTTTGTGTGTTTTTTTCTCTCATCATCATTTTATTAAGGAAAATCAAGGTTCAGATAATAGCTAATATAGTACAGCAAATTAAGTGGCCAATCCAAAATCCTATTTTAAAAAACTCAGGAAATAATTTCAAACATACAGAAAAGTTGCTAGAATAAGAGCAATATAAAGAATACCAGTATACCCTTTACCCTGATTCACCTATTATTAACCTTTCTTTCCTCATCTGCTTTATCATCACTTTTTCTTTCTAAATTTGAGTACTTAATCATATTTTTCCTGTATCACTTGAAAATAAGATGTATATATGTCATGGCTGTTTATCACTTAATAATCAGTATGTATTTCCTAAGAACAGAGATATTTTCTTAAACCATTTTGTACTATGGTTGTCAGCATATTTAACAATATAATTTTCTTATCTAATTTACTGTCCATAGCCTGTCAATTGGTCCTAATGTCCTTCATAGTTTTTGTTTTTCCTCCAGTATGGGATGCAGCCTATGATCATATATACAGTTAGCTGTCATGTTCCTTTAGATTTTTAAAATCTGGAACATCAACATTTTTGAAGAATACAGTCCCTCCACCCCCACTACATACTTTATTTTAATAGCTGTCCCTCACTTGGGGTTTACCTATTTCCTTATTACTAGACTTCTACAAATTCCCAGTTGGATTCTACATAGTGATGTATTCTTCACAAGTTCATCTGCCCCTCATTAGCAAAGTTAATTTTAATCACCTGGTCAAGGAATTTTCCTATTTCACCAATATACAGCAATTTCAGTATCCAGTAACATTTTTTTCCTTGGAATTAATAGGCAATCTGTAGGGAGACACTTTAAACTTGAAAATATCCTGCTCAGCAAAACCTCCTCCTGTGTTTAGCACCACTGATGATTCTTGCCTGATCCTATCTTTATGATGGTGATTGTAAAATAAGGATTTTCCACCTCTGATACTCCTTCACATTTACCACTTAGCATTCTACTGTAATGAAGAACTATGCTTTGATTCTGCCATTTATTTACATATCTATTTGTTATTAATATAGGCTCACAGATTCCAATTTTTAAATGACTTATAATTAACTGCATTTAATTATTTTAATGGTTAAACTATCCCAGAGTTGGTCAATGGGAGCTTCTTCAAGCTGGCACATCTGTTCTTCTGAGGTTTTTTTCTTTCCTTAAGCATCTTTTCTTTCTGGCAAAAAGTAATATTCCAGATTCATCTTTTATTTTCCTTGCCCAAGCCCTGGAACCAGCCATTTTTCAAAGAAGTCCTGGTTCCCTTAAGTGAGGAATTACATTAGAGACCATGATCTCGTTGTAAGGTACGCTTATCATCATTGGGGTGTTTTTGCTTATAAGCCCTTTGGTAGGCAAAGCTAAGAAATGTAAAGTATATAACACACATATACATATGCATATAAACATTCATGCCAAAACATCCGATTCAAATCTCACCTTGCCTTGTTCCGTATTTGTATGTCTCTTCTTACACAGTGAAAATCCTAGCTCCCCAAAACACCAAGACATTTACTCATTTGCTCAATCCTACAAATCACCTACAAGATTTTCAGAATGTTCTGTTCCGCATATATAACTTGTGAAAAACAATCCTAGTAAAAGGAGTTCAAGTTTTCTTTCCCCCATCACGATTCCTAAGACTGAGAGCAACTTAATCAAGATGCTGTACATAGTTTACTTGAACTAATTCTTTTTATTCCCTTTTACCAGTTATATATTCACTCAAAATATAACTGTGGACTTCTACTTCTGACCATGAAAGATAAATAATACCAGATTTACCCTTCTGCCTAAAACAACCAATACTACCAAAAAAGATAAAATATGTAAAACAAAAATTTTCAAGAGAATGGAAATTGATCAAAGAAAGACACTGATCCCTAAGATACAGGGGAAAAAAGTAATGAACCTTGCCCGAAGTATATTACCTTGAGAGTTTTCAGACAGTGGCACAGAAAGGGGAACCCAGGTAATATCCAATAAACTGCCTGAACTAAAGAAATAGAGCTAAGAGCCCAGGGAGACCAAAAGCAGATTAAGTTGATAGAGTATCAGGGAAGAGGGAGCTAGCTACATAGCCAAAGAACCCTAGAGATTTGCAGAGGAATGCTTTTAAATAATCAGCAGAATACTTACCAATGAATGTGTGTAAGAAAACTACCTGAGACTGAGGAAATAAATATCAAAACCAACTAGAGGGAACAGTGCCCAGGACTCACAAAGAGCCAGGAAAAGTATCTATCCCCACCAGCCAGACTTGAAAAACCATTAATTCATAGGACACCAGGTAGTGTTCTCAAAAAAGTCTTATCTCAGGAATAGGGAATAAATAGTCATAGACTTAACACAGCTCCAGAACAAACCAACAAATCCCAATATCAAGACCCCCCCCCAAATTAAGCTATTTCCAACTAACTTTACTATAACCTAGAACAGTGGTTCTCAACCTTCCTAATGCGACGACCCTTTAATACAGTTCCTCATGTTGTGGTGACTCCAACTATAAAAGTATTTTCATTGCTACTTCATAACTGTAATTTTGCTACTGTTATAAATTATAATGTAAATATCTGATATGCAGAATGTATTTAGGCGACTCCTGTGAAAGGGTCATTCAACCCCCAAAGGGGTCCTGATCCACAGGTTGAGAACCATTGTCCTAGAACAATGCTCAAGATTCATAAGAACACAAAATTATTAGCAAGAAATAAGGTAAAAATCACAATGTCTGACTTCCAATCAAACATTACCGTATATGCAGACAGAGCCACAGCAACCACCCAGAATTTGTTTTTTAAAGAGACAGAGTCTGTTCTGTTACCCAGGCTAGAAATAGTGGCCTGAACATTGCTTACTATAACCTTGACTTCCTGGGTTCAAGTGATCCCTCTGCCTCAGGCTGTAAAGTATCTGGAACTAGAGGTGTGCATCCCCATACCTGGCTAATTTTTCCAATCCAGAATTGACACAGATATTAGAATTAACAAAGAGACATTTAAAAAGTTATTCTAACTACTTTAAACGTTAAGTGGAGACACAGAAGATGTTTTTAAAAAATCAAACTTCTAGACTATCATAATGTCTAAGATTCTGACATATGGTCTGGATAAGATTATCAGAAGATTAAACTTGCAGACGAAAAGATAAAATGAGGCTTGGCGCCTGTGGCTCAAGTGGCTAAGGCGCCAGCCACATACACCTAAGGTGGAGAGTCCAAATCCAGCCCGGACCCGCCAAACAACGATGGCTGCAACCAAAAAAAAATAGCCAGGCGTTGTGGCGGGCTCCTGTGGTCCCAGCAACTTGGGAGGCTGAGGCAGGAGACTTGAGCCCAGGAGTTGGAGGTTGCTGTGAATTATGCCATGGCACTCTACCCAGGGGGACAGCTTGAGGCTCTGTCTCAAAAAAAAAAAGATAAAATGAACTTGAAGGCTAGCATGGAAATTATATAAAATGAACAGAGAAAGAATTTTCTAAAAATGAAAAGAGAGTGAGATGTGAGAAAATTTCAAGTAGCCTAACATACATATTAGTGGAGGACAGAAGAAAAACTTGAAGATACAATGGCTGAAAATTTTCCAAACTTGATAAAAAAAAAAAAAACCAAAAAACTATAAACCCACACATCCAACAAGCTCAGCAAAACCCCAACCACAAGAATCATGAAGAAAAATATACTTAGGTATTTATAAAGAGGAAATCTTAAAAGTAATCAGAGAAAAAAAGACACTACTCAAAGAAACAAGATAAGGATGTCACCAGATTTCTCAGCGGAAATCTGTAAGCAAGAAAAGGACCAAAAAACTCGTAAAAGCTCTGAAAAGAAAAAGCCAACCAATCTAGAATTCTATGCCTGGCAAACATATCTTGTCAAAATAAAGATGAAGGAGAGAAATGTATTTTCAGACATAAAACCTTTAGGAAATCATTGCCACCAACAAAAAATACTAAAAGAAGTTCTTCAGGCATAAGGAAAATAATATAAAGATGGAAATCTGGATCTATACACATCTTTACTATGAATATGGACTAAATATTGTCAAAGGCTTTTTCAGAATCTATGAAAATAAAAATATGGTGCTCAGCTCTATTAGTATTACAAGATTTCCAAGACTGAACTCATCACTTTACCCTACCCTGTTGGTCATGGTATATTCTTCTCTTAATGTAGTTCAACTTAGTTTTAACACTTACTTTCTTTTTTTTATTAGATCATAACTATGTACATTACTGCATTTATAGGGTATGATGTGCTGATTTTATATATAATTTGGAATGTTTACATCAAACTGGTTAACATAGCATTCACTTCACTATTTAATTGTGCTTAGACATTTATACCCTACTCTTATTTTATGTGACATGGACCCCTGCAATATGCACAATAGGTGAGGTTCCTCTGATTACCCTCCCTCCACCCATCCACCTCCCTACCCTATCCTCGCCCTCCTCTTCTCTCCTTTCTGGGCAATAATTGTGTTTTATGATTCATATGAAAGTGTGGGTGATTATATACTGATTTCATAGTAGTATTGAGTACACTGGATATTTTTTCCCCATTCTTGAGATACTTTACGAAGAAGAATATGATCCAGCTCCATCCATGTAAACATAAAAGAGGTAAAGTCCCCATCTTTTTATGGCTGCATAATATTCTATGGTATACATATACCACCACAATTTGTTAATCCATTCATTTGTTGATGGACACTTAGGCTCCTTCCATGACTTGGCTATTATGAATTGGGCTGCAATAAACATTCTTCTGCAAATATATTTGTTGTAAAGTGATTTTTGGTCATCTAGATATATACCTAGTAGAGGAATTGCAGGATCAAATGGCAGGTCTACTTTTAGTTCCCTAAGTCAAACTTCGTTCCAGAAGGGATGTACTAGTTTGCGTTCCCACCAGCAGCACAGACGTGTTCCCTTATCTCCACATCCACGCTAACATCTGTAGTTTTGAGATTCTGTTATGTGGACTGCTCTTACTGGAGTTAGATGATATCTCAAAGTGGTTTTGATTTACATTTCTCTGGAGATTAAAGATGATGAGCATTTTTCCATGTGTCTGTAGGCCATGTGCCTGTCTTCTTCAGAGAAACTTCTGTTCAAGGCTCTTGCCCACAATGAAATAGAATCACTTATTCTTTTCTTATTAATAAGTTTGAGTTCTCTATGGACTCTAGTTATCAAACCTTTGTCAGAAACATAACATGCAAATGTCTTCTCCCATTCTGAGGGCTGTCTGCTTGCTTTACTTACTGTGTTCTTGGCTGTGCAGAAGCTTTTTAGCTTGATCAGATCCCAGTAAATGTATTTTTGGTGTTGCTTCAATTGTCTGGGAGGTCCTCCTCATAAAATATTCTCCCTGGCCAATTTCTTCAAGGATTTCCCCTCTACTCTCTCCAAGAATCTTTATAGTTTCATGTCTTAAGTTTAAATCTTTTATTCAGTGAGAGTCAATTTTTGTTAATGGTGAAAGGTGTGGGTCCAGTTTCAGTCTTCTACAAGTCGCTAGCCAATTCACCCAGCACCATTTGTTAAATAGGGAATCTTTCCCCCAACTTATGTTTTCCATGGGCTTATCAAAAATCAAATGAGGATAATGTCTGCGTTCATCTCTTGGTTCTCTATTCTGTTCCATACATCTACCTCTCTATTCTTGTGCCAGTACCATGCTGTTTTGATCACAATAGATTTATAGGATAGTCTGAAATCTGATTTGCGTGATTCCTCCTGATTTGTTTTTATTTCTGACCAGGTTTTTTCTGATTCCATATAAAATGAAGTACTATTTTTTTCCAGATTTTTAAAGTATGATGGTGATGCTTTAATAGGGATTGCATTAAATTTGTATATTGCTTTGGGTATTATGGACATTTCAACAATGTTGATTCTTCCCAGCCATGAGCATGGTATGTTTTTCCATTTGTTAACATCTTCAGCTATTTCTTTTAGTTCTCTTTGAAGAGATCTTTCATGTCCTTTGTTAGGTAAATTCTCAAATATTTCATCTTCTTTGGGACTACTGTTAAAGGAATAGGGTCCTTGACTGTTAAAGATTTACTTTCTTAAAAAAGAATTCATGGTTCCAAAAATGGATATAAAGATAACAAGAAAAATGTTATGGAGAAAAATCTACTTTTTCTGTGGACAAAGTACGTCATTTTTGATGCTGTTTAGATATCAGTGTAGTAGGTTATAAAAAAGCTACTTTAACTACTTAGAATCACCAAATTTCTTACAGATAGCAAGAGAGTAATAATCAGATATTGAAAAGCTATAACTTATCTTTCCAAATATTTATTAGAAGAAAATTAGCACCCTTGTCTCCTTCATAAAATGCTGAAACTACAAGGTTTATATAGTGCTAGCTTCCTCTGTCATCTATAATGTAAGATTACATTGGAGTATTATTTCAGAAAGGAGTCACATGAAAAAGTAAGAAAAGACACCATAGTCTCACATTTATAAAGAAATATTAAACACATAGTTGTATATAAATGAATGTTTATATTTGTTATCTCTTAGGAGCTTTTCCAAGCTTAAAGCTTAATACATTTTTGCCAATTTTCATTGGCAATGCCTTTACAAACTTAGCTCTGCAAAAGGACTAGGATCAAAAGATCTCACTGGATAAAAACAAGGCCAACAAATATTCCATGTTGATCAACAGAGTCATTAAGTGCTTTCACCAAAGTAGACCCTAAAAGCAGGCAGAAATACCACTGTACCCTCTATTCATCCCACAAAAAAGTTGTGACAGAAGACATAATACTGTCAAACTCTTATATTTCCTATACACCCTTCTGTTTGGGGGAATGAGTCTAGACAAT